TCAAATGCAAGCCAGGCCTCCAGGCCCGCCTCCTGACCCCCTACAGGGCCTGCCATCTTTGGCCTCATTGGGGGAGAGGGAGGGTGGCCATCTGGTGGGCAGAGCAGGGGCAGGAGCCAGACTCCCGCTCCCCCCGCCCCCCATCTCTTGCCCCTGAATGCTCACACTCTTTGTGACTTATTGTTTAACTTTACAAGACCCTTGGCTTTTATGAGGGTTATTTATAAAGCTCTGGGCTTTGATCGCAGCATAAAAAAGCAAACTCCTGTGTCTGAAAATGTCACCAGGGATTAGGGGAGCCTTTGAAGTCCCCTCCTCGCAGGCAGCACCCGCCCAGCTTCCCCCCAGCATCTGCAGCCTGGGAGCCCGCGGCCCAGGGCCTCCGCTGGGGTAGATGGCCCGTCCAGATGAGTGGCAGGTAGGGTTCCCTCCCCGCAGCCCTCTTCCCAGCTGGGCACTCTTCCTCGTTCCCAGCAGCACTGGCCTCCCTGGTCTCCAGATGTCGGCAACATCTGTCTCTCCTGTTTACGCACAGCCACAGGCTGCTAGCTCGTCCCTGAGCCCAGCAGCGGGACTGTGAGGCTCTTAGAAATGGATTATTATCACTGGCTTATTGGGAGGGAGGGGGCAGGGAGAGTAAATAGGCTGGCAGGGCAGCGAGAACAGCTCTAATGAGGCGGGGCTGTTCCCTTCTCCCTAATCCTGACCCCTAATCTTCCACCGCCTGGCAGGGACCCCGCCTTTGCTTCTTTCCCTCTGTTCAGTCAGGTGACAGCTGGGGGGTTCCAGGCCAGCTCGCAGGGCAGTGGCGAGAGGGACCCAAGCAGCGAGCTGAGGGGCAGCACTGTTCCTGCTCCCTGCTGGGCCCCAGCAGCCTGAGGCCAGAGGGATGGGCGGGCGACCTTCACAGCGGCCTGGGGACTTACTTCTCTGGGACCTGTTCTCTCTCTCTCCCTGGATCTTGCGGGAACTCTGTGCATCTCAGTTGCCGAGAGCAGGTGAGGAGGTGAAGTTCCTACTGGCCCCTCTGAGCACCCCTCCTCCTACTTCCAAAATAGCAAGGCTGTGTGGGGGATTAAGCGGGGTCACTCGGGGAGCACGTGGGATGCTTGGGAGCCCTCGAAGGAGCCAGTTGGTCCCACCTGCCTCCTCCTCCAGACCCAGCGTCCTCTGTCTCGGCCCGGAGGGGGCGCCGTGTCATCCTGGAGGCGGGCAGAGCTCCTGGCGCAGGCAGGTGTGCTGCCTCCTAAAGGTGCTTCCACCAGGACTGCAGGGAGGCCATCTGCGGGCTTGGCTGGAGTTAGAACAAGGCATCCCCTCTGGGCAGGCCAATTAGGAGAAGACACCCCTCCGGGTGCAGTAAGTGCCCAGGGCTACACTTTCTTCAGGCCATTGAAGGCGCTTGGCACAGGCCTCCGCTGGTGGCCCTCAAGCTGAGTTTCTGATGCATTTCACCCCCAAATTGCACCCCTCAACCAGGCGCCCCTGGGCAGGGCACAACCTGACAACTATATCTTGCAGTCTTCTTCCCATCCTGGGCCCCCGAGGACTCCCTCGGGCCCTGTGACACCGCAGAAGAACACGGGCTCCAGAATCAGCCAGCCTGGAACCAATCCCAGCACCGCCCTAGCGGTGTGTGCCCTCCCACTCCCTCTCTGGGCCTCAGTTTTCCCATCTCTAGAATGGGGATGATAACAGCTCTCCCATCCCAGGGCTCAGGTTGCCATAGATGACCTGTGCGGCCATTGGGGCCCCTCATTACACTCTGAGCCTTTGTTCCCTGGCACCAGCCCGGATCCCAGGCCGCGCCCTCCTAAGAACCAGGTCTGCCCGTCTCTCTCCCTGTGGCCGAGGAAGAAGCTGGGCTGTGGTCCGATGACTAAGGAGGCCGGCAGGTGACCTGAGGACTATGCCCACAGTCTGGGGACTGGGTGGGCACGTGACAGGAGACCAGGTCCAGCCCTCCAGGCAGTGGTCCTTGGCTTTGGGGGTCAGGGATCCCTTGGGCATTTGATAGCAACTATGAACTCTACCCAGAAAAATACATCTGCACACGGTTTTGCATATTATTCAGGGGCTCGTGAGCACAGGAAAACCTATCCATGGACCCCAAAGAACTCCCACCCTCAAAGCGGCAGCCTCTGCTCCCCCCACCCCGGGGGCCATCGGGGCACTGGATTCTTGGCAAGGAGAGAAGGAAGGAAGAAAATTGGCGTCTACTGAGCCGACATTACATATTGCCTCACCCCAGGCTCTCGGCTCTGAACAACCCACGGGGTAGTAACTATTCCCATATTGCAGATAAGGAAACTGAGACTCGAAGAGGTGAAGAGACTTGTCCAAGATCACACAGCTAGTGAGGGAGCCAGGACTTGAGTCTCGGTTGTCTGGTTTTAAAGCTGAGGCCTTTTCCTGGCGGGCAAATGCCCTGGCTGTGCCTTGCCGGGAGGGAGAGGGGCGTCGAAGGCTTGGTTTTGCTAGTCTGAGGCTAAGTGCGAGGAATGTCGATTGCTCTGTGCCCGCCTCCTCATACGCCCTCTCGCTGCTCCCAGGGATGCCGGGGTCCTACTTGCTGCCACCGCCCATCCTCTGTCCTCCGGGTTATCCAGGCTTTGTCCCTGGATCAAGTCACATCAAATTGTGCTTTTCCCAGGGGAACTGCCCACCCAGAGCCACAAAGCGACGGCGCCCTGGACAGCTGCTAAGGGTTTATATGAGAAATAGTCACGTGGGTGCCTCTGTACGAAACTGCTAGCAAGAAACGGACCCACAGTGGTGGCCGTGCTCATTCCACGGCATACGGATTCTAGAATGGCCCAGGGCCACACCTTCTCCGGGTTCAGGCCTGAGAAAAGCCTCTTTCTGCACAGCCCACAGGTCTACTTCCCTGAAACATTGCGTTGGGTGGATAAGGAGAACTAGCAAAGTGAACTTGTTTGCCCTTTTGCCATGACTGCCAGGAAGCTCAGAACCAGGTTAGATTTCAGTTGCTGTCATTACCTTACCCTTGGCTTTTGGATGTAATCGGTTTCCTCACATCCAGCCAGGGGAAAAGGTGCCTTTTAAACAATTTCTAAGGAAATATGTTGACCTAATAGCTGCCTCGAAGACTGGAAAACAGTCCCAACAAAGGAAACTTCCAAAGTAAAAAGTCAGCATCTACCAATCCATTCACTTACAAGTCCGCCCGTCTATCCGTCCGTCCATCCACCCACTGAGGTGTCTATCCATCCACCTACCAACCAAAACATCCATCCATTTATTCATCCATCCACTTATCAATCTGCCCTTCCTCCCTCCCTCCCTTCCTTCCTTCCTTCCTTCCTTCCTTCCTTCCTTCCTTCCTTCCTTCCTCTTTTCCTTCCTTCCTTCCTTCCTTCCTTCCATCCATCCTTACTTCCTTCCTTCCTTTTTTCCTTCCTTACTTCCTTTTTTCCTTCCT